AGCGGAATATCACGCATGAACGACACTATGGTCTATGGACAGATCCTTTTAACTACCACTGCAGTAGACTGCAGAGGGACACGAAGGAGCCCCCTACCCAGCCTCAACTATTTTAGAGGCACATTGTACTTGATTTTGCTCTGACCTTAGGAAACAAATCCAAGCTTCCAACATTTTTGTCCCCTATCATGGCGACACTGTGGGCGCATTCTTGCTGAATTGACCTTGCTTGTTTTGTATATTTGCTTTGTGAGCCATTGAGGAAGATGCTTATAAAACTGCCTAAAACTTACAACGTGACACTGATGAACAGTGACTGTTCGCCCCGCAGAAGTTGGATTCATTCTTGTGTTTTTAGTTAATTTAGTGCGCCTTCTCACTTACCCATTAATGTTACTATTCTTTGTGCCTACAGTTCTGGCTTACATGACTTTCTGCTCTTTTAAGCTTGTAATTCATTGACATCAAAAGAGACAAATCACACAGAAAAACCAAAAAGATTAATCTAGGTGATTAGCTAATATCATTTTTTCTAAATTGTCCCAGAATATTTGTTGTTTTGTATTTATTTTACAGCTGAATACACTAATATCATGACAGCCCTATGATTCCAATGGACTTCAATCTCCCCCCTGGCTACAGAATGCGTTCCCGGGGTCGGGGCCAGCTGATTACACCACCCACCTGCTGTCTCTGGAGGGATCCCTGCTCACTAGTGATCGACAGCACTGAATCCACTGGCCAGGCCAAGGCGTGCTGAACAGCAGCGCCAGCAGGCACCACACGACACCCTGCGGCAGGAGGGAGAGAACAGCAGGAACGGCGGGGGACCGGATGACTTACAACCGGCTACCGCACGGCTGACTGACTTTTGTGGATATTAAACCCGTATAATTATATCTTAGATACTGTTAGAAAGGCCTCTAATAAATTTGAGCTTTTTGCGTGATGTTTTTACTGCGAGTATGTGTCAGCTTTGTCTAATTGCTAAAACATAATTACCAATTTTAGCAGCCAATACACTGTTCCCATTAAAGCTACAGAATCAAAACTCTTCTTTCTAAATTAAAAAGAGCCTAAATGGTCAGGCACCATCTTACTAAAATATGTTGTTATTCCCTTTACTGCCCCTCCAGGGAATTACGCTCCATGAGTGCAGCGTGGGCCCGGAGGCAGCAGGGTTCCATACTTTAAAAGCCGTCACCTTCATGCCGTATTTTTAGGCCAATAGCATCGGTTCGGTGCAGATATATAAAAAACATGTCAATGAAGCTGTTTTGCTCAAAATTACCAACACGCATCACCCATTCTAGCCATGCCTCATATGCCTCTTTTCACTTCCTGGTTTCAAAAGTTGCTGATTTGGGGCTATAAGCTTTAAAATAGCTACTACATATTGATAAAAAAAAATTAAAAGGAGGGGGCTGGAGCCTCATGCCCAGCGAACCCGCGCAGCTGCAACTAAATACTGCCGCTGCATGAAACGCCCATATCATGGGATCATCAACGGATATATTTCTGAAAAACAGTATGCGAGCTCAAAGGCTTTCTCTCTTGCCGTTATACCACAAGGCTGAGTCCTTTTTATTTCCTGCTCGTTCGCGGACGACACATGGGTCTCCAGTACAGGTTCTCTGAGTGTTAGCGATGCCCCTATGTAAAACAGCGACCTATAGTCCAAACAGTCGGGCATTGTTTCTGATAGCAACGTTCTGATAGGGCCGTGGGGTGTAAAGCCAGCCTGCATTTCCGATATTACGTCATTATCGGACGCAAATGCTGGTCAGCTCGTTGTAGCCCTGTTTTTTAGAGATGTCCGGGTCCGGGACGAAAAAACGGAGGGGTTTTATTTTCTGACGCCTGCCCGTGAGTCCCTGACACAACGGGCGACACACTATTATGCATTAAAAGACATCAAAAGCGCATTTTGCATGATTGCTCCCTTTAAGAACAGTGTGCTGAAGACCTTGCTTATTAACAAAAAAAAAGAAGCATACAGTTAATGCTATGTCTGTATAAGATTAGTTTGTCTCCTCTTGAGACCTACATTTTATGGTATTTTATTTTATTGTCTTTTTGTTGTTGTTTTCATCTCATTTTATTTGTATCTACCGTAATTTTCGGACTATAAGCCGCGCCTTTTCCCCTATTTTTCGACGCTGCGGCTTATATAACGGTGCGGCTAATCTATGGATTTTTACAGCTAACGGCCAACACCTTTAACTCTATGGGCTCTATGGCCGGTCCGCGGACCCCCACCTTTAAGCGGCGGGTTCCAGCAGGAAAAGCTGGAGGCCGGAAAAGAGTGAGACAGGTAGCGCGCAAAAGTAAAAGTGGAACCGAGAGTGGTATGCCGCTGCTGCGGCTTATATTCAGGTGCGCCTTATAGTCCGAAAATTACGGTAGTTTATTTGTATTTCACATTCTATCATTTATTATTTTCTACGTTTGTTAATCTATAAATCCTACTGAGACAAATGTATTTTATGATATCGGGCTATATAAATAAACTTTGATTTGATTGAATAGCTTTTTTTTTCTTGAGGCCATCATGTAATGTGTAAAGATAAAAAATAGAATAAAGAACCTGATATATCAGTAGCTTCATTTAAAAAAATGCCAGTTGAGCCTTGACATGTATTTATATATTTTCTTTTTGACAAAACTCATTCTCCTTTTGGTCCTCAGATTTGAACAGACAGGGCAGTACCAACGGTCTGAGTCTTCCACAGGCTGAGGACGCCCCGGTGTGTCCACCAACCAGTGGACATCTGATGGCAGAGAAGATGAGACTGGGCCGAGAGGACCAAGGGGACAATGACCCTGGTGAGAACTTGATCTTATACACATTCACTTTTAAGTTTCCATAAGCATTGGGATGGAGGCTTATGTAAGTTTTAATGTTTTTCTCCAGCTGAGAAGAGTGCCTCGAAAAAGCCTCAACGCTTCTCTTCATGTTTACCTGATTCCCAAGAGTTGATGGACATTAGAACAAAGAAAAAGGTCAGTATTGTTGATTAATCTAGATTTATATAAGCAATACATATACATAACTAATTATAAAAGCCACTGTAATACCTTCAAACTGCTGTTGTCTGTCCTGTTCCCAGCTACTGATCACAGGCACAGAGCAGTTCAACCAGAAGCCCAAGAAAGGGATCCAGTTCCTCCAGGAGAAAGGTCTTCTCAGTAACCCCATAGACAACAACCAGGTGGCCCAGTGGCTCCGAGAAAACCCTCGACTGGACAAAAAGATGATCGGCGAGTTTGTCAGTGATCGCAAGCACATGGAGCTCCTGGACAGCTTTGTAAAGTAGGGGACATTTCAGAGCATGACTGCCATTTGTTCTAGGGTTGATAGGGTGTCGATGTTTTAGTTCCCATGAGACATCGCTATGTTTGATGTCAATAGTAAATAATGCTTAAAGTGGTAAAATATTTGAAGTTCTAATAAAGTCCTTTTTACAGCACATTCGGCTTCCAGGGGCTCCGTATCGATGAGGCCCTGCGGCTCTACCTGGAGGCCTTCAGACTCCCAGGAGAGGCTCCTGTCATCCAGAGACTCCTCGAAACCTTTACAGACAACTGGCATGTAAGGCATTTTTGCTCAATTGAAGAAAAAAATAAAATGTCTGGATAGGTACTTTTTACAATGTATCAGCAGCAATTTGATCTTCAGATTAACAAAGAATTGGGTTAGGAGCACATCATACCAGATCTGAGGACCTGACTGTTGTTCTTCTAAAAGTCAGACTTTAAAAAGCCACTACACTTTCATCTTGAGTGACAGCAGCATAATCAGAACATGAGTGATGATAAAATAGGAGCTAATCTAACACTGAGCTTGAACTGATGATTTTTTTGTTGTTGAATGGAATTAGATGAATTTTGACATACACACTCATAAATGTGGACTCAAGGCTCAAAAAAAGACTTTCAACTCCTCAGTGACCAGGGGCCTCATGTATAACGCCGTGCATAGGATTCACGTGGGAAGGTTGCTTACGTAGTAGAAATCCAAAAAATAGGTACAGAAAAGTTTAGAAGTAATTCTGTCCTCCTGCTTACCGCATCATTTATGAGAAAACATTTCATAACATTAACACAACAACATATTCGAGGTGGTTTTAAATAACATATCCGTATTTATTTATTTCTCAGTTATGTTTTTGTGTGCACTGAGGAGTCTCAAACAGGCGTTTGTTAAATCATTTTAAGATTGGCTTTAATCAATGTTTGAAAATGAATTCTTCATATATGATAAATGAGAGGTAACATTTTATTTATTTATGGTATTATTTCCACATATTTCTCTCCATTCTTCCTTCTGCCAACGGCGTCGCTGTTTCTCGTCTCTCCCGTTTTTGTGCTTAGTGCGTACGCATGGGTTAGAGTTTGCGTGGAGGACCGCACGTTTTCCCGTCAAGTTAGTAATTTATAAATCTCAAACATCGCGTAGAAACTTGTGTACGCCATTTTTTGAGCGTATATCCCTTTATAAATGAGGCCCCAGGTCATGGAAGAAAGGGAGAGTCTGGGAGAAGGATTAAGAGAGGGATGGACAGAGAATATGGAAACATAGGAAAGAGAAGAAGAGGAAGAGGAACCAAAGAAGAGGGTTTACAAGACAAGAAACCAACCGAACAGGAGGAAGGCGGACAGGCGAAATAAAAGTGAGAGTTGAAACTAAGCTCACATTGATTTCTATTGTGTAATCAAATGAGTCTTCTGTAGGGGAGATGAAAGAGAAGCCAATGTGCCTCATTCCATACAGAAATAACCTTAATATAGGACTTAGATACTTATTGTGGGAGGCAGGATAGTTTACTTGTGCACTACTCTGAAGAATACTTATTATTTTCTTCGTGACCTGCTGTGTGGCCTATTGCCCCCCCCCCCACACACACACACACAACAACAACAGCCTGTGAAAATGTGCTTTTTTTTTTATTGTATGGGTCCCGCTAGCAGTTGTTGGTAAGTAGACTCTTTCATCTATGCCAGGGGTGGGGAACCTCCGGCCTCCGGGCCGTATACGGCCCGCGAGACCATTTGGTACGGTCCTCGGGGTAATTTATAAACACACGCAAAAAAGAAAAAAATTCAAGAAATCTAGACCGCAAAATAATTAAATAAGCTTGTTTTTCCTGGCCAAGGTCAGGGTCCTTGAACACAACACGAGCCTAACGTGTCATCACGTGGTATATGTCTCGTCTGACAGGAGTGTAGTTCTAACGGAGAGCACCAGAACGCGGCTCCGGGCCGGGACTTCACAAATTGCAATACCTATAAGGAGCTGTACACATGCCGCAGTTTTTGCGTGGCTGTGTCTTTAGTTGAAAGCCCAGTGGCGATCTGTTCATCTGTCATACTGATCATACTGTCAATAACGTTGTTGTTATTAGCATCTGGTTAGCTAGCTATGCTAACGATATAAGAAGCTTTTTCTCCAACCAGTGAGGTAAAGGCACATCTTTATATGATCATTATAGTTATAGAAAAATAAGAGAATAAAGTAAACAGGTATAAAATACTAATATGACAGTAAAAACAAGTTGTTATTAATAAACAAGAAACAGTTTAAAAGGGAATTGATTTGTAAAATATCCATAAATAAAAAAATCTGCTTCCAGTTCTGTTTCATATGGGTGTTGAGAGATGTATCCATAGATCTCTTCATGTTGCTCTCAAAGTGCACCAGATTGATGCTTTTAACTTCAACATTTAAAAATAAATCTTCCTGGTGGTGCATGCCCCCAAACCCCCCTAGATGAGGTTAGATCCGCCCCACTTAAATCATGTCCACATGGATATGAAACTAAATACATTTGCACACATCTTGTGTCCATAATCTTTCTGTGCATGAATGCGCGGGTCATGGTCAAATATCTGGATTAAGAGGTTTGCTTTTTCTTTGCACAGCATGAAAGAAAGGCGAAATGAATGGGCTGTGATTTGAGATTTTTAAGCAGACGTTGAGTTCAATAATTTGTACGGCCCTCGAAGGATGTTGTAAAAATTGAAATGGCCCTTGAGAGGAAAAAGGTTCCCCACCCCTGATTTAAGGGAACTTAAAATGTCTCTATGCAAGGGAACTTATAAGAAACTGGTCTATATTTAAGGGAACTTATACAAAAATGTCTCTAAGGGAACTTTTAAGCTAAATGCCTCTATTTCAGGGAACTTATAAGAACATTTACTCTATTTAAGGGAACTTAGAACACAACATATTTTTTTCAAGGGAATTTCTAAGAAGAAAATATATATTTAAGGGAAATCAATAATACAGGGTTCCCACACCTTCTTAAACATTAAGTTCAAGATTATTTTAATGACTTTTCAGGCCCAAATAGCTCAAATGTAAGTTACTACATAAATATTGATGTATGTACGTGTGTGGTTATGTCCACTTTGAGATGTTTGATTATATTTGTCTTTCCTTGACACCTCCAGGCTTATGAGTTGTTCAATTCCCCCTTAACAGTTCATCTAGATCGTTATAGCCGTAGGTTATCATTATTTTCCCTTCCCTGTATTACTGGAAAGGCTGTAGACTTGTTGGTGTTACTACTTGTTGAATTGTCTCTGTAGACTATTTTAAATGTAATTTAAAGACATTCCTGTTTGGGCAACTTGGGAGCTTTTATTCTATGTTTTTATTGTGTTTTTATTTTGTATTGTATTCTTCACAATGTATTGTGTTTTTAGCACTTCATTCGTATGATGTTTCAATGCATTGTCAAGCACTTTGTGACTATGTCTGTGAAAAGCGCTTAAATAATTGTTACTTACCTACTTGAATCCAAAATAAGTGCATGTGCTAATGTCTTCCAATTACCTCAGAAATTATATTAGCCGCTTCCACACCAAGTACTTTGCCGTACTTAGTTCCCCCATGGAACTAAAGAGCAGATCGCGTTCACACCGGAATAAGTTCCCTGAGGGAAGATGACGCAAATGAGCCGCTGACGTCACTTCTTCTTCTTCTGATTTGGGTTTACTGGCAGGCCGCAAACAACTTCACGGCGTATACTGCCACCCGAAGTCCCCGGCCAGAGGTCCCCGGAGCTGGGACTCCCAGCAGCTTCTACTGAAGCCTTCCGAGTAAATTGCCAGAACGCCGACACCTCCTCATCTCCACCGCTCCCATGTTTTACTTTGTGTTGCCATAAGTTAGTCTCTCTCAGTTGGTGCGCGGGGCTAATGCTAATAATGCTAATGCCAGCAAATACAATGGCGGCTTCACAAAACCTTTCAGAGTTTTACGGGGCGTGGTTTGCAATTCGCCCAGCCAATCAGAAATTGGAAAGTACCACCTCTCTAGCAGGGATTACAAAGGGGGGAAAAGTTCTCATGAACTAAGTTCTCTTTTTGGTGTGAACGCAAAATCCCAGGAACTATCGGAACTAAAAGGGAAAAGTACTCGCACCTATTGGGGATTATTGGTCGAACCAAACAACATGGAGTTATTAAAGGCAAGCCATACTGTTAAAGTGGAGTCTCCACTCTGAGGTAATTTTATGAAGCATACAGCTCCTGCTAACCTACGGCAGGATTACTGAGAGCAGGTCAACAGTCTGTTAAAGGTGGAGGTTTCTTATTAACCCCAACGCCACACTTTGATCCACCTTCCCTGCTAATTCAATGCCAGGTCTGCATAATGCACCCTCCACAAAGACGAGGGAAGAGATAGTTCCGCTAAATATAACATCACATTTACATACTGTGTTTATTTGTAATGCAGTATTTGCATAATGTCTCATCTGTAATTTACATTAGCATTCTTGATGAGTTGATACTGTTGTGTGCATAACTGCAGCATCGAATTTCCTCTGTATCATTAACCTTTGATTCTCTTCATTGAGTCTGTGGAAGTTTGCTGAGGAACAGCTGTTGCTTTAACATTAAGCTTTGGGGGTTTTGTTATTCCTTGGACTTTATGAACAACATTTGTCTTTTAAAGGAAACTTATGAACAAAATGTCTCCATGTAAGGGAATTTAAACAAAATGTCTCTATGTAAGGGAGCTTATAAGACAAATATCTAGTTAAGGAAACTTAAAATAAATTATCTTTATTCAAGGGAATTTAATAGATAAAAAATTCAAGTCAACTTTGAACAAAATGTCTAAAAAAGAAATCAGTCTAGTCTAGTTATTATACCGTTTACAGTATTTTCTGATTCATGGAGTGATACAAATACATATCAAATACAATTCTTAATATATAATCTACTATTATGCAGTTTTATTATACTCCCAATTTGTTTATCTGTAGTGTCTCCCCTTAAGCCTTCAAATGTTATGAATTTGAATACATTAATTTCATCCGTCTTCTCCTGGTCAAACTTTTACTTTCAACCCGTCTTTCTTCAGCCAGTCGTCTGCGGACCGAATCAGGATAACAGCAGGTCGTATGAAGGGTAACATGTAGAACATCGCCTGGAGAGGTGTGTGTGTGTGTGTGTGTGTGTGTGTGTGTGTGTGTGTGTGTGTGTGTGTGTGTGTGTGTGTGTACACATTTATTATACTGCTGGACCAGCACTGTGTGAGTGTGCACTCTGACAGTGATGCTGTTTAACACCATCACTTGC